CGGAGCGCAGCCCACAAGCCCACTATCCACCACCCACCGCCTGACCTGGCCAGCCTGCGCCCGCAGCCCCAGCTCACGCCCGCTCCTCACCTGCGACGCGCCCTGGCCCCCAGCGCAACGCCCGGACCGGCTGTGTACACCGGAAGTGACGTTCCCAGGCCTGCTCCGCCCCCTCAACCCCAGGACGGATCACCGGGCAGGAGCCGACTCTACCTTCTAGCCAGCGAGGCGGGGTTGTCCCTGAGCGTCATCCTCTGGGAACCAAGGACCTCCCAGGGGGACAGCCAGGGCGGGGGTTGAGACCTGTCAGCCAGAGCCCCCAGGGTCACCCTGAGCCTCCACTGTTTCTTGGCCTCTGGGCGTGAGAGGTCGTCCATGGATTTATTATTGAAATTGGTGACTGAAATATTGAGTGCTGGTTGCCAGGCCCTAAAAGGCTTTGTAGAACCGGACAGAGCTCTTACTCTCATAGGTTTATTCTCTAGTGGTGGAAACTGAATACAACTGTGACAAATCCATGTGATAATATAGTGCCAATTGTGACAAGTGGTAGGAGGGGGAAAGTGGAAGACTGAGGGAGTATCTTGACCTAGGAGAGGAAGATGATCAGGGAATTCTCCCAAGAAATTAGCAAGAGCCGAGATCCTAAAAGAAAGAAAAGCAGGGCTGGGGATTTAGCTCAGTGGTTCTGGGGCCTGCCTCGCAAACGCAAGGTCCCAAGTTCGATCCCCGGTACCAAAAAAACCACAAAACAACAACAGCAAAAAAAAACAAGAAAGAAAAGCAAAAACAAAATACTGTGGCAGGAGTAGATGATATTACAACAGAAGAAAATCAGGTGTTTTTGTCGTCAACTGGTTTGTGTTTAACAAACCTGGGCCAACAAATAAATAAATACAAACAAACCAGGGCCAGGGCACTGAAAATTAGATTTTAGCTGAGAGCATCACAAACCTAATGAATTTTAGTCAGGGATTGATTTGACCACACTTGGGGGTTTAAAGTGATTAATTTGGCTTCGGTGTGAAGGACTGGGAGGGGAAGGAAAGAGTGGATGTGTGGGGCTGGAGTTGTAGCTCAGTGGTAGAGTGCTTTGCCTAGCATACTTGAGGTCCTGAGTTAGATCCCCAGCACCAGAGAAGGAAAGGGAAAGTAAAAAGAGAGTAAAAGAAAAGAGAAGGGGCAGGGAGAGAAAGGGAGAGGAAGGAAAGGAAGAGGAGTGGCTGGGTGCAATGGTGTATACATATAATCCCAGTATTCTGGGAAGCTGAGGCAGGAGGATCACAAGTTTGAGCCTATCCTAGGCAATTTAATAATTTAGGGGGAAAATAAGTGAATGTAGATTTGTGTATTCATGTTCATAATAGCCAAAATGCAGAAGCCCCTCATTTCCTGTGGTGGATTAACTAATGGTGGACTTGTAACGCCCAGTTGAACTGAGTCAGTGTGGAGACCCACCTGAGGACTGTTGCCAAGGGCATAAAAAGAGAACTGGGGGGGAAGATTGCTGGCCGTTGATTTTCTTGCACCAGCTTGCCATGGGTAGTTTTCCTGATACGAACTTGGCTGTTTTCTCATCATAGAAAGAGCTCCGGTCCTTGCTGTCACTGGGAATGGCTGCTGTTCTCAGGAGAGCTCTGGTCTTCACCATAAGCATCACTTCCAGGCTCCAGTACAGATCCTTCACCCTGGTGGCACAAATCCTCACCCCACCAGCACAGGCTTTCTAGCTTTCACCACTGGCCTTTGGGCCTTCCCAGTGAAGAGCCTCAAAACGGACAAGCATGAGACATGCAGTGGGCTCTAGGCCTCTGGCTGGACTCATGGAGGACATTGCCTTGGACTCTAGGCCTTCAGCCGGACTTGTGAGGGATATTGCTGTGGGATCCAGGCCCTCAGCTGGATTCTTTGGGTCTCTGTTTCACAGCTAGATCTCTTGCACTTCTCTGCATTTGACTTTTTGGGTGACTATTATAAAATTATCCTATAAATTATGTGTCCTGTATTAAATCTATTTCCCTTGCAAACCCTGACTACAACAGTCTCCTTCCAAATAAAAAATACAAAGGAGGAGGGAGTGGGCTGGGAATGTAGTTCAATGCAATGGCCCTGGGTTCAATTCTCAGTAACACTCACCCCCAAAAAACCCCATCCAATATATATAGAAGTTCTAGTATTTTTTTCCCTATATCTCAATGGATTGCCTCCCCAGGATACAGGTATGCAAACCTCACTTTGAAGGCCATGCACAGACTAAGGTAGTGGCAATGGGGATGGAGAAAACTGGCCAAATTTGAGGAGAATTTTAGAATAAAATTGATGCAAGTCAATGGTGAAATCCTGGGTCTCTGGGATGAGCCAATGTAATGGTGACTCAGAACAGTTGGAAGCCCCTGAGGAACATGTTTGGGAGGGTGGAAGATGAGAAGGACATGATCATACTGTGAGAATGAGATCAAGAAGGAAACACTGACAGGCGTGGTTGCACGTAACTGTAATCCCAGCACTCAGGAGGCTAAGGCAAGAGGAGTGCCAGGAGTTCAAGGCCAGCCTGGGCTACATAGTAAATTCAGGACTACCCTGAACTACACAGTGAGACCCTGTCTCAAAAATCAAGCATTAAGGAGGCTATTGGAGATGGAGCTTTAGAGCTTAGGAGAGAGAGATCTGGAGGTGAAATCATAGATTGAGAGGAGGCTTTTTTTTTTTTTTTTTCTGGTGGAAACCTTAAAACTTGTCTCAATTTCACAGAGAGGAAATATTGGTGGAAAGAAGCTGAGGATACCAGAGAACGATGAACTGATTCATCTTGTGAGGTTCTACAAAGACTGGAGGGAGAGGATCTAAAATGGGCAGTGATAGGTTTCCACAGACTCTAGCAGCCTTTTGGACAGAGGTGTGAGGACAGTGAAAAGGCTCTGAAAGCAGAAGGGTGATGGACAGGAGAAATGAGGTAAAATTTCCCAATAGTACCGAGCCTCCATTGCAGGTTGGTAGCCATTATCTCAGAGTAGAACCTTCTTTCCTGCTAAGTGACTTGCTACAGCAGCTGTCAGGTAAGAGTGAAAAAAATAAAGCAAAAATTAATCGGGCTTGGGTGAATAACAGAGAGAGGGACAAAGAGTGTTACTGACATGGGCTATGGAAATCAAGCTACGTATACGAGAAGAGATGTGGAGTGAAAATGTGGGCTTAGAGGAAGTGTTCCTGGGTGCGCATGTCATCTTGCCTATGTAGGCTGGGAAAGAGGCCAGGGATGATGGTGAAAGGCTTTCATGGCCCAGGTGTAGCTCCTGCAGTCTCAGAACGAGCTGGTGTCTTTACGTAGGCCCTCTGAGCTCTTACTATAGGTTCCAGGAGCTGCTGGACCTTGCTACAGAATCCTCCAGTGACAACACATGGAAAACGCCAGTTGAAACTTTATTTTTGTTGATGGAACTTGAACCCAGAACCTTATGAATGCTAAGTTCACATTCTACCACCAAGCTACTTTTTCACCACCCCCTTTTTTATGTTTTATTGTGATCTCATAGGTTATCCCCCCCCCCTTGATACCAGGGACCGAACTCGGGACCTTGCGCTTTTGAGGCAGGCGGTGGAACCACTGAGCTAAATCCCCGGCCCTTGTTTTATTGTGAGATAGAGTCTCACTAAGTTGCCCAGGCTGGGCTTGAACTTGTGAAGCTCCTCTTGCCTCAGCCTCCCAGAATGCTGAGATTACAGGCTTACACCACTAAGCCTAACTCTGGTTGGAACTTTAAAGTACCACTTTCCCCATGTGGCAGGCTCTAACCCATCTCCTTAACCTCTGCTGCTTACTTCACCATTTGAGCCCAGTCTGTAGGGTTCAATCCAGGGCTGAGAGGGCCTAGAGACTCTCAGCCACACATGAAGTTTTTTTTTTTTTTTTTTTTTTTTGTACAAGGGATCGAACTCAGGACCTTGCATTTTTGAGGCAGGTGGCAGCACCATTGAGTTAAGTCCCCGGCCCCACACAGTTTTGAGTTCAGTGTGAACCCTGCCATCTTAGAGTCCCCTTGATGGTCTCTGTAGACCTCTCAAGCTTACCTGAAAATATTTTGTACTATGAACCTATTACATTTGCCTTGTGTGTCCATCCTTGTGAGTCAGATACTATACCCCTGCTCCACAAGTTCAAATTATTTGTTTTCATTCATCAAACACACATACACATGGAAAGGAAAGGAAAATCACTATGTACCCACCACACAGATTTGAGACATTGGTTACTTCCTTTGTGTCAAAGTGCTCATAAAAAGGATAAGGCCCATTGGTCTAGAAGTAGAGGCCAGACCCTCCTGAAACACTCACATATTCAGGGACAGGAGTTCAATCCTCCAGCTCTGCAGAGCTCTGTGATCTAGGGCCTCATCCTATACATCTGGGATGGAGCCTCAGTTTGCCATTTAGAAGGCCAAGGCCAGGAACAGCTCTTTGCCTGAATTCACCTGGCCCTCTGTGTATCTGGATAGAGACAGAATTAGTGCCAGATTATAGCCTGTGAGAAGTGAGCAGAAGGGTTCATAAACTCCTCAGTGAGTCAAGGCCTAGAATGGACCAGACCTGTCTTAGTGAAAAGTATCTGAGAGATGTCCCTTGATATTGGCAGGGGATGGCCCTCCTTACTAAGGAAAAAAATAAAGTAAGAAAGAAGAAAAAGCAGGTTTGCTACAGCTGGCTTTTATGAGGTCTTCACATTCCCAGTGTCAGAAAGGCTGCAGAATCAGAACATGCCAGTACAAGGGCTCCTCAGGGATTTTAGAACTGATTTTCTTAAGCAGCCCAGTTTATTACTGTTGACTTGTGCACTCTTCTAGGCAGTGAGAGCCAGTGCTTATAGGCTGGGCTTATACATGTGAGTTTTAGTGAGAATATCTGAGAGAAGAGCCTTCAGGGATGCAGTTTTCACAGCCAATTGTTCTTGGTGGGGGAGGGGAAGGATGCAATTGAGTCTGAAAAGAGCAAATTTTCTACTTTACCTTATGGGTTTCCCTTGGGCTGGCTGTGTAAGCTGCAAGATGATCTGTGAGCGCTGGGAAGGGTAGCTGCATTCCAGAGTCCCCAGGATTTGGGAGTGAGACTGGAGAGGGCTGGCCAGACATTCTGGACACAGAGCAACTGGGTGTATCTGCTGGATATGCAGAGATCTGGGCTGAAGCCAGCCCGGTACCTTTGGTGGCACGCTGCAGCAGGAATGGGTTGGGGGGTGTGGTATGGGCTATGTGCAGGAGGGGAAACTTTTCCCCCAGTCTCCAGATTGCTTCCCTGAGGAAGCTACCCTTTGTCTCCTTTCCCCTGTGCATAGCTATCTGAGCATCCTGTTGTCCGAGCTCTGCCCCACCCCCACAGCTGGAAAAGGCTGTGCTGTGGTCAAGAGGCTCCAGCCAGGAATTCATCTGCTTCTGTCTCACCCAAACCTCTAAGGTCCCAGGTTCCTTTACTCATCCTGAGGAGCTGGGGCTGGCCAGAAGCCTGGGAGATCTCTGATGGATAGGCTGGACCCCAGGAGTGCAAACCCCTTCTCCCAAGCCAAGACATTTTGTTGATTTCTCTTTGTCTGCAAAACCCTGAGTAACAAAGGAGGTGGGGGTGGGAAAAACTAAGACTTAGGCTGAACGAACTGCTATGGGACTTCCCATGCACTCTCCAGGGTGGGTGAAGCAGAGGGGTCAGGATGCAGGACGAAGGATGCAGGTGGGAAGAGGAGAGGGTGAGCTGCTGGATGGATTAGGGACCACCTAGTGGCATTTCCAACCAGTTATCAGCTGTGCCAGTCTGCACAGTGGGCAAGGAGATTTTTCCGTATCCCATAGACTGCCAGGGGATCAAGAATTTATAAGCAGGTAAAAGAAGGAAAGGTGAGTCAGGGAGGGAACTCAGGCAGAGTTCTGGTGTTGATGGAGCCATAGGGGCTGTGGCCTTGGGATTAGGCTATCCTGATAGCCAAGAGTAATCTGTCCATTCCATAGCAACAGAGCTGAAGTCTTTGATCCATGAGCCTGGCTACAGGTACTACCCCTGTTCAGAAGGCCTGTACTATGTCTGTCGTGGGACAGCATGCTGAGTCTGTGGCCTCATGGAGAGTTCAGAGTTGAACACTTTTGGGCATTCTGAACAACTGAATTTAGGAGCATCCACTCAGATTCGTAAAACCACCAGAAGCCAAGGCTGACAGGCAGGAGAGATCTTCTTGGGTCCATCTGGTTGAAGAAAGGAGAATTCTGTTTCCTTTCCTGGGTGTGGCTGGACTTTCCTTTTGGTTATCAAAATGTAATAACCCCAAACTTCTTGTCACTGAAACAAAAAGGGGTTTATTAGACCTAACAAAAAAGGCACTGTGGCCATCAGAATGGCTGTCCTTGGCAACAGTCCTGATACCTGGGAGTAACTCACAGATTGCCACCCTGCAACTTATTGCTTCCCTCTGGGCACAGTGGGAAGGAAAACTTAAGGGGTCAAGTCTTCATTCTATCCAGATACGATGCCAGTGTCCTGCAAACCAAATTTGAGGTTGCCATATGGCTCCAATGAGAGGTGTTTTGGTTCTTTTTGTTTGCTTTTGTATTCCTGGGGATTCAATCGAGAGCCTAATCCAAGCTAGCAAGTGCTCTACCACCAGCAGCTCTGGAGATTTTTACATATGGTAGCTCCTGCTACAGCCAGTCTGCACATCTCAACTGAATCTTTAACTGCTAGCAAGCGGAAGTAGGAAAGTTGCTGCTGGCTGGGTTTCTGGTGGCAACGTGACTAGCTGGAACCTGGGCTACTGGTCACAGTGCTTGGATTCCTTCTCACTAAGCCCTGGGACAAACAGGTCATGTTAGTCATAGGTACTGGATGGCAGGATGACACACAATAGATTCCCCTTCATCAGACAGCTGGCTGCCTCAGGTGGAAGATGGAGCAACAGGTGCCCTAGACAAGTCTGAGAGCAGAGTGTGAGGGGGAGGAGGGGAAGACATTTCTCCTCACTCACGCCACAGGCAGAGATGAGCTCAGGTCCCCAACCTTACACTGCCTGGTAATGCTGAGACTAACCTTAACTCTAACCTGCACAGCTGTGGAAGACTCACAGCTCCTACTCAGAGCAAGGCTGGGCAGAACCAAATAACATTTTTCAGCCGATACTGGAAATATATGGGGAAAGGCTAAGTTTGTAAATTAGAATTTGGGTCTTATCCTGCAATGATTTTACTAACCCCAAAACATTACTGTTAAAGTACAAAATAGCCCAGTGTGGTGGTGAATGCCTGTAATACCAGCACTTGGGAGACTGAGGCAGGATTGCCTTGAGTTCAAGCCAGCCTGGGCTGCGTAGTGAGTTCAAGACTGACCTGAGCTACACAGTGAGATCCTGTCTCCAAAAACCAAACAACAACAAGAACAACAAAAATAATGCCTGGGTGTGCTATGTACCTGTAATTCTAGCTGCTTGAAAACTGAGACAGGAGGATCACAAGTTTGAGACCTGCCTGGACAATTTAGTAAGACCCTGCCTTAAGATAAAAATAAAATGGGCTGTAGATGTTGTTCAGTGATACAGTGCTTGCCTAACATGCGTAAGGCCCTGAATTCAATCCTGAGTATTTCAAAACACAAAACAAGGGCCAGGGATTTAGCTCAGTGGTTCTGGTGCCTGCTTCACAAGTACAAGGACCTGAGTTCGATCCCTGTTACCAAAAAAAGAAAAAAACCCAAAAACCACAAAACAAAAAGCCGAGTGGAAGTGGTGGTACACAGGCCTGTAAACCCTGCACTCAGGAGGCTGAGGCAGGAGGATAGCGAGTTTGAGGCCAGCCTGGGCTACATAGCAAGACACTATTTCAAAAATTAAAGAAAAAGGAAAAAATAATGAAACATGATCACTCTACACTGCAACAAATGAGTCTGTGTAACACCATTCAGTTCTGAGAAAGAATGAGGATCTCATGGGGAGCTGATGAAACTTGAAGCCAACTTTGAATTACCTTAGCTCTGAGCTTCCTATCAGCCAACATTTACAAGAACCACCAAGGAGACTGGGTATATTTAAATGGAGTCAAGTGGCCTTAAAAATACATGAAGAGGACCTGGGATTTAGCTCAGTGGTTTCGCCACCTGCTGCGCAAGCGCAAGGACCTGAGTTCAATCCCTGGTACA